CTGGATGATGATTCTTAAAAAGCTGTATTGCACATTACTATTGATATACATAAAATTCTAGTTTTTGTTGTCTACTGATTTGGACATTATATCTACTGTTTCTTTCTGGTGATTTGACCTACTACTTGTCACTCAATTCAAAGATTTTAGGGATTCCCTTACACAACAATCTGTCATTTTATTTTTTCATCTGGATAAAATTTACTACTAATCAACGGATTCTGTATCTACGGTATCTGTAATCATTAACAGCATCAAACGATGGAGAATCACGTTTTTTCCTAAAATCAGAAACAAGCTAAATGGATGAAAATATTCTTTGAAAATTTTTTGTCTTCGGTTTTCATTTATTTTTTTGTATGGTAGAAGTTTATCAAAAGAAACATGACAAAATACTTGTTTGAGAGCAAATGTGTTTTTTGAAATGGTTCCCAGACAGACAACGCAGTCCCGGCTACGTGACTGATTAGCAGTGATAGAAACTGTACTAGTTAAAATTTTCTCCTAGCTATGAGACTGACCATTGATGACACAGACGTACATATACATACAAGTACACAAAAGGCATAGATATAAACGGAGAGCTGAGTATTAAGCATATATACAATTTGTACATTGGTTTTACTATATCACACTCATATATATATATATATATATTTATTCTGTATAACTTATTTACATTAAAAACAAATGACTTTTAACAGAAATTTTTGATTCACAAACATTTTGTTTATGATTGTAATAAAAAATGCTTTGTCAGAAAATAAATTTATATAGATCATTTCTTTTTTGGCTTTGATTTAAAATTTCTTACTTTCTACCCTTTCCAATAAGACACCAAATATACTGAAATTTAAAAGAAAAGCATTGATCAAAATTTGGTCCGAATAGCCAAGTATAATTTCTTTCCCATACCCATCAAAAAGTGTACAAATTTTTCACCTTTTCAATTACAACAATAATGGGGGAAAAAAACATATAAAAAAACATACATCAAAAAAATCTAAACAAAAAATGTAAACAAGAATACTGAAACATCGCTTATTACAGCAATTTTTCTACCGGTATTTGAAAGTTTATGAAAAACACAATCGCATGAACATTGATGACGATAAGTAAGTAAACATTTTTACCCATGACAACATGTATCTCATTGACAACATGTAAGTAATTTTCATGCAAGTTTCTGATACATACATGTAAATGAAAATATGCAAATTAACAAACATGTTTACAACAAAACCTATGTAAACAGGCATGTTAGTCTTTTCACATAAAACAGCTGCCTCATACAAGATTGTGCACATATGCCACAAAGTTTGAAATCTGTTACCATGGAAACTTGTTTTGGACACTTTGTGTTTATACATATAAATTGATACTAGCGCCCAAGATGCATGTGTACGCCTCGAATTTATTGATTTTTTTTAATTTATTTATGCCTCAAATTTAATGATGTTTTTTTATTCACATAATTTAACAGAATCTGAATACAAACAGACTTTAAGTTTTATCCTTTGTTAAATCCTAAATTACGTTTCATTTGTTTCAAAAATGTAATAATCAATTCAAAAAACTTTTTTGACAAGTTTAACATAAATTTATGAAAGTAAAATGTAAAATTGACTTTAATGCACTACTGGCCCCCAAAAAAATCAAGTTCTAATATCAACCTTTTACTGATTTTTTTGTTTTTTTGAGATATTTTAAAATCTGAAAGTAAATAGCTCAAGTGATTCTCTAGTATTCTAGAGACTTTGTCACACAAACCATAACCTTGACACTGTCAAGAAACCCATGATTTAATAAAAAAAAAATTCTTACATTGAATATTTCTGGTTGAAGATCATATTTCAAAATCCTTGAAATTTTTCAAAATGTTCGAAACACTTTTTAACAAAAAAAAAAAAAACAAAAATAAGAATATGATTTTTTCTGGTTTTTGTGACTTATAACAACTGGCTTATAATCCTAGAAATAATGAACAACCTACAATAGTTAGTTCTATGCTAGCAGAAGAAAGCCATTACAACATTGAATACATCATTTGGTATCTAATGTTACATCATAATTCATCATAAATATCAATATAAAATACTCATGTTCATGGAATAATTTACGTATATTACATATGAAATCTGTTGATATCAAAAAATAATTTCATCAATATCGCTATGAAGTGACAGAAAATCATTCTTTTTTCCTGTCCATATCCTGAATAGAAAAGTACAATTGTAAAATTGATTACCTTAACAGATTTTAACCTTTTGTGAATGATCAAACTTAGAATTAAATGAATACATGCATACCTGTATGAAAGTTATCTATAGGTAGAATTTAATAGTATATACCTGTTGGATAGTGACTTACAGGTAATAAACAATATACATACCATTCATCACTCCACAGGTCTTCAAAATACAGGTAAATATTGTGTGTATACCTGTAATCACAAGAACTACAGATAAATACTGTTGGTATACCTGTAATCAGGAGACCTACAGGTAAATACTATCGATATACCTGTAATCAGGAGACCAACAGGTAAAGAGTGTGTGTATGCCTGTAATCAGGAGACCTACAGGTAAAGTGTGTGTGTATGCCTGTAATCAGGAGACCTACAGGTAAATACTGTGTGTATGCCTGTAATCAGGAGACCTACAGGTAAAGTGTGTGTGTATGCCTGTAATCAGGAGACCTACAGGTAAATACTGTGTGTATACCTGTAATCAGGAGACCTACAGGTAAATACTGTGTGCATACCTGTAATCAGGAGACCTACAGGTAAATACTATCGATATACCTGTAATCAGGAGACCTAGAGGTAAAGAGTGTGTGTATGCCTGTAATCAGGAGACCTACAGGTAAAGTGTGTGTGTATGCCTGTAATCAGGAGACCTACAGGTAAATACTGTGTGTATACCTGTAATCAGGAGACCTACAGGTAAATACTGTGTGCATACCTGTAATCAGGAGACCTACAGGTAAATACTGTGTGTATACTTGTAATCAGGAGAACCTACAGGTAAATATTATCGATTTACCTGCAATCAGGAGACCTACAGGTAAATACTATTGATATACCTGTAATCATGATACCTACAGGTAAATACTTTGGGTATACCTTGTAATCAGGAGACTTACAGGTAAATAGTGTACATATCCCTGTAATCATGTGATTTACAGGTCAATACATTGTATGTACACCTGTTATCAAATTATTTACAAGCATAGAATGTGTACATCATTACCTTTATGAAAAATTTCCTTAAATATTTCTTGAAGGATAGAATTAACAATTTTTACTGATAAATTTCATGTTACTTCAGCTTTCATTCAAGTTTACATTCATTTTCCACATGTCTTAAAATGTAAATAACACAGCAATCAATGATGATTTTAGGGTTGTCCTATAGAGAGGAACCTGGCTTACAGAAAGCTACCATTGTAGACTACAACAGACTTATCAAGACTAGGTCCAATATATCACAAACTGCAGATCCTAGCTCCACAGCTGACAAGTATATAGCATCACGTACATCGTCAAATATAGATTTCAAACAATCATCATTAAAAAGAATAATGACTTACAAAATACAGGGCTCGACTTAATAACACATATATAACAGGATTAGTAAACACTGGTGTTTTTAAATATACTGGTCGTTTATCCAAAAGTAGGGAAATCTCTGTCAATGTTAGCAGGAGTATCTTTTTTAAATTATACAAGATGGTTTGTGTATGTACACTCCAGTACCAGTTTTTAGTTTAAGTTAAAAGTATTTTTCTATTTCTTGATCTGCTTTTCTCCAGTTTTCAGTGCCCTATATATAATGTCGTATAAACTATAACAATATACAGTGTTCTTATCCCAAACTGGTATGTATTCTTTCACTTTTGAATCGACTCTACTGCACTCGGTACAAATGGCAAATATTTTTGGTCAGATTTTCTCATAACCCAGTTCACTGTCATTATCTTTTAAAGTTTCCGAGCTTTTCTTTCCAATTAAACCACATTTCAGATATAACGTTCAATTTTCTCTGTGAACTGAGTGTCCATAACTAACCAATTTTATACCGCTGAAACATTTGAATGTAACAGCATCCACATTTATTATTTCTGCCCCCTTTTCAGATTGTAATTGACAGAATTGTTGTACCCGTCAGAATTGCGGGGCGAATCTGAATCTATCCTTGTTCTTATAGATACTTAACAAGGCATTGCATAAGATGGTAGCTACAATCATATCTATGACATATACATGTTTTTTTTGGTATCATGCCTTATACACCATGACAGGCTGAAAGTTAAATGGTGTGTATTATACAAAACACATCAGAGACAAAATGTTTCAATATCATTGTGTCATGATGTCCCCATAACAGATTTACATTCATAAATTACACATAAAAAAATAAAAAAAAATAAAAAAAGATTGTGCATCTTTCTTTTCACAATTAATGCAAAATAAAAAAATACTATTTTTGAAAGTAAGTAGCACAAAAAAAGCTTTTTTGTATGGTTAAAGCTTGTGAACATTGCACACATAAGCCAATTAATCCAGTAGATACCCACACAATTTACAGTGTATCAAACTAGGTGTTCTTTAGTAATAAAATATCACTCACAAACTATATTCTCAAACTCTATAGTTACAACACATGTAGCAGTTGTTGCAACAATTGTTGCAGCATATTGTTTACTTAGATACACAAATCAGCAACATTGTGTTTCACAGGATATGCAGAAAGGGAAGACAATTGTTTCCCCGAGTGTTCTGATGATATAATAGGTAGGAAAAGTGGCCATGCAGCCTCCAGAAGGACTCTCCATACACAGTATATGGTTGCAGTGAGACAAACCACTGAATTTCCTGGTCACAGCACCAATTTGCTGCCCTTTACCAATGAACCAATGAACGCCAAACTCTGACCAGCTGTCGACCTTAAACGACCCTGGCTGATGCATTCCCCTTCATGCCAGTGGCAGTCTCTAGTTCAGGACTGCGGAGGTTGGGGTGGTTGCTGTTGCTGGGACAGGCTGCTGATGATGGATCGCAGGATGTTCTCCACTGTTATAATAATGAAAATAAACTATTCAGCTATTTCTTTTCTTGGAAAATGATATCAAAATGACATCAATATATCAAACGGAGGTTAATGATACAGATTTTTCTCCATTTCTTTTTCTCCCCTAAATTTTTCTGGAAACTTTGGTGACAAGTATACTAACAGTTTGTAGCACATGTAGCGACAAATAGGTATATACTGAATTATAAAGTCTGTAGAAGTGACAAATTTATTAAAACCTGTGATAACTATACATTTACAGAAATTTACCTTGCTGATTGTTTCCACAGCCGCCAACTCCTCCAGGTAAAATAACAATGGGCCCTAGTGGGGTCTGAGCGGGCTGTTGTTGCTGCTGTGAGGGAAGCGTCTGCTGTTGTGGAGTTTGTTGTTGCGACGTTTGTTGTTGCGGTGTTTGCTGTTGTGGTGTTTGCTGTGGTGGCGTTTGCTGTTGCGGCGTTTGTTGTAGGGGTACCTGTGTAGGCTGTCCTCCCAAGTTATTCAGATTTGTAGAAAATCCATTTGCAGAGTTAGACCCACAGATAATGATCTGTGGTGATGTAATTTGGCCAGACTGTGATGTACTTGGTGCTGCAAAAAAACATATAAATATAACTTAAAAAATAAATATTGTATTTATATGAAGTCAATTTTTTTATAAATACTGTAAATACACTTTTTTTAGTTGTAATATCATTTTAGGGATTTTTACACAGAAATATTGCACTAAAATATGAAAGTATTTTCAGCGTTGTTTCTATAACAAATATTGAGTATATGCAAATTCATCACTGCACTTATTTGCCAAAATGAAAGAAAACTTACAAAATTAAATACATTTACAGTCTCTACAAAGGTGATATAGGCAATGCTTTGTGTCGTGCTAACAGATACCTATAGACAGAACAATCTGTATTCAATGGTACCATAACCAAAGCAGTAACTTAACATTAGTTTCAACTTCAGATTACAACATTTTCCCACGAATCAGACGACTTACCAATGCTAGTGACTGGTTGTGTATCATTCAAGCATTGCTGCTGTTGCTGTTGTTGTTGTTGTTGTTGTTGTTGTTGTTGTTGTTGCTGCGATTGGTTCCACACCTGTGGTAGTGACTGCTGGCCCACAACTGATGACACTGATGCTACTGGAAAAAACAAGAACACAGCCTTTGTTATTACTAATCACCACAAAAAGGTAAAACAACAATCAAATCTGCTACAATGGCAAAGGACTCGTCCTGACACTACAGAACTTTAAAATTATCTGCTACAATGGCAAAGGACTCGTCCTGACACTACAGAACTTTAAAATTATCTGCTACAATGGCAAAGGACTCGTCCTGACACTACAGAACTTTAAAATTATCTGCTACAATGGCAAAGGACTCGTCCTGACACTACAGAACTTTAAAATTACCTGCTACAATGGCAAAGGACTCGTCCTGACACTACAGAACTTTAAAATTATCTGCTACAATGGCAAAGGACTCGTCCTGACACTACAGAACTTTAAAATTATCATCTTGAAAGAAATTTGACTCAACACAAAGCTGACCCATATGTGAAGATATAGGTCACAGTGACTTACATGCACTTTGTATTTGACATATTGTTAAAAGTTGTTATTTTGGAGCAATTCTAACTTTTGCCATTTACAATGATAGAATAAAACTGCTTCAAAAGTTTAAAGTACAGTATACAACCAATAGAGAAGCATAACAAACCTGATGTAGACTGAATTTGGTTGCATTGAAAGCTGGCTGTAAGTGAGGGCAGGGCCGGCTTGATATCCACCACTAGATCAGGACTGGGGATCGACACCTGAGACACACTGTTAGTGATGGGCGTGCCGATAAAGGAATATCCCGTATTGGACTCGCGTGACTGAGCCTGCATGTTGTTCGTACCTCCAAAGGACAACACTGGGGAAGCTTGCATGGTAGGTGCATTACCACTAGGACTTCCGGCCGACGCGACGGACATAGAATGCTGGCTGTCACCAAAACAGTGCTGTTGTTGCTGTCCCCAGGTCGTTTGTACTGGTTGATGAAGCTGCATGACATTCTGAGCGACTGGCTCCACACCTTGTACAGAAGCAGATGTCAATGCTTGAGAGGCTATTTGCTGTGCTATTGTAATCTGCTGGTGCTGCAGATCTGGAGCAGTTTGTTGTGGAGATATTGGGCTGGTTGGTTGTATGTGACTGAAAAATGGTATGTTATTTAATTCCAAACCAGCTGAAGGAAAATTTAACAAATTATTATCCTGTTGCAGTAATGCAGAGATCTGTTGCATCACAGGTTTTTGGTCTGTAGCCTGCAGCTGTTGTTCCAACTGTTGTATTTGTTGTTGCTGTTGTTGTTGTTGTTGTTGCTGCTGCTGCTGTTGTTGTTGTTGTTGCTGTTGTTGTTGTTGTTGTTGCTGCTGTTGTTGTTGTTGTTGTTGTTGCTGCTGTTGTTGTTGGGGTGATTGTTGTGCCGCTGTCTGTTGTTGTAGACTTTTCATTTCCTCCAATGCCAGTTTAACAAGCTCATTACTTCCAGGCTGGGAAGCTTGATCTGGGTCACTGGCTAGCAGGGACTGAATTGTTGTGGCAGTCTGCTGCTGATCCATGGGAGCTGAAGACGTGGCAGACATTGCGATACTGATCCCAACATTTCCAAACATGTCACTTGTCTTGTTCACAGGGCCGGCTGTGGGGACATTCGCCTCCGGGTCCACTTGCATGCTGATCACTTCATTATTAACTAATGGGGACAGGGTCCCCGGGGGTAGCTGAAACATTCCTGAAGATGTCTGCTGAATCTGCTGCTGAAGCTCAATGGCCTCTGTTTAATAGAGACATATAAAATCTTTATAAATAACAATTTCTCAGCCATTTATCCTTCAGAGCTTCACTTGATTGGTGATTACACCTAACCCCGCACACTAAGGTTTGGATTCCAACCTCCCTTCTTTTGTTTTGCTTTCATTTTAAAAACCCTCAATGGTAAAGAACATTTACATTCTAGGATTTCAATTATTTTCAAAGTACTTGATGCCAGTTTTTCAATTGTTGGTTTTCTCCCTCATAACTAGAAGCTCTCCCTCTTTATATTTGCTTTGCACCAACCCAATTCATCACATGCTAGGGATAGCAATGTAGACGCAAATCATCACAAACATAGAATAGCAATGTGAATTTGACCTTGGATTCCCCGAATTTCCTACCCATCCAAGGCAGCTAGACATGACTTTTGTATACAGTGTAATCTAGGAAGAAATGAATTTGACAGAATGTAGAGTACAGGCTTGGTTGAAATTAATTACTTTCATCTCATCCAATTTCGAGCGTATCAAATTAAAGAATCATAAAAGTTTTTCTTTTCTTTTCCAGCAACGCGAAAGAGTTCAAACTTTCTAGGTCAGACTATGTGTGTTTTTGCATGAACTTACCTGGTGACACAGTAAAGGACAATTTGCGCTTGTGAGGTGTCTCACATTCCTCCATTGTCATTGGTGTGTCGACGGATGTTGACTTGGACACTTCTATTGACAGAACACAGGAAATACATGTTATCGCATTGAAGTGTGGAATTCCCAAAGAACATTCTCATCCTGTAAGTATGTATGTGTGGTATACATGTATAACGCAATGTTTGTTTGTGGTGTTGATGCCAGCGTCCATGCAGATCATGTGTAAGCTTTGAACAGCTATGCAAGAATACTTCAAATTAAGAAGCAAGAAAATGAACCTTTCCAACAAAACGAAGTCCATTCAAAGAAAGATTCATTTAGGAGGAATTGAATTTTTTTTTTTTAAAAATGTACTTCCGTACCATCAAATGCAAACTTCAACACAAAAATGAAAAAAATAAAATAAATTTCAACAGAAAAACAGCATGCTAGTTTTAATTCTACTGACAAAACATATAATCTTAATACATGTAATTTGTATCTTATAAGACAATTAAATACAACTAATACATTGATTCCTACAGACTATTGAAAAAAATGCCTTCATTTCTCAAATTCATACACAAACACTCAGATTTTCTCCATACCGAAAAAAATAGTGGATACACACTTTCCCAGGTCTGTCAATTGCCAAGTTAAGATAAAACTGTTACTATGGCAATCAGTATTCAACTTAATTAAATTTTCAAAACATTTGTTATTCTGTCAGTAGACAAACAAACGGTAATAACACATACGGTTTTGCAGAAACACAACTAGGCGATGAAAAGCAGTGATTATTTGTCATTATCAGCCTTCATAGCCGACTCCCAAGGCATCTAATGGTGTATACTGTACCTCACAAGATCCTTCACAACAATTAACTGGTCCTCTAGTTTTGTGCCTACAAAACTTGTGTCCATTCTTAATCAGATGGGAGGATGATTATTGATGATTATAGGTGAGATAGTATAAATGAGCTAAAGGTCTATATCATATTCTGAAGTACATGTAGATGACTAATTTCCGATTATTAAATTCTCTGCCACATCTATATCCAGACATAATTTGTTAATTGTGTGGGCTTGTTTCTTTGAATAGAAACTAACATCCTCACGACAACCAGGGTTGCAATTGAAAGTGTTGTCTCTGACAGTGAACAAAGGGCAAAAACTCTTTATTTAGTTGGATACCAGGAACAAAAGATGATAAGTCTTTATTAAATTGAATGTAAGACCCAATTTTGTTTCCGTGGGACATTCTACTACCTAAACAACAGTACAGACCCAATTCTGTTTCTGTGGGACATTCTACTACCACAACAACAGTACAGACCCAATTCTGTTTCTGTGGGACATTCTACTACCTCAACAACAGTACAGACCCAATTCTGTTTCTGTGGGACATTCTACTACCTCAACAACAGTACAGACCCAATTCTATTTCTGTGGGACATTCTACTACCTCAACAACAGTACAGACCCAATTCTGTGTCTGTGGGACATTCTACTATCTCAACAACAGTACAGACCCAATTCTGTTTCCGTGGGACATTCTACTATCTCAACAACAGTACAAACCCAATTCTGTGTCTGTGGGACATTCTACTATCTCAACAACAGTACAGACCCAATTCTGTTTCCGTGGGACATTCTACTATCTCAACAACAGTACAGACCCAATTCTATTTCTGTGGGACATTCTACTACCTCAACAACAGTACAGACCCAATTCTGTGTCTGTGGGACATTCTACTATCTCAACAACAGTACAGACCCAATTCTGTTTCCGTGGGACATTCTACTATCTCAACAACAGTACAAACCCAATTCTGTGTCTGTGGGACATTCTACTATCTCAACAACAGTACAGACCCAATTCTGTTTCCGTGGGACATTCTACTATCTCAACAACAGTACAGACCCAATTCTGTTTCTTTGGGACATTCTACTATCTCAATAACAGTACCTACAAGCAAAAGTGCACTTATATGTGATGCAATACTACGATGTTCCGAGGACAAAGTTATCAATGGAAGACAGATGGACAAACGGACAAGAGAAGTCCACTATGATATACCAATCCAATGGAGTGGGTGATAATTTGAAGCTGGAGATTTTGGATCGGGACAATTCATTGCTGGGTCTGCCCCTGGGTAGAAACTGCAAATCACTTCATTTTCATATATACCTAGAAGCAACTTTCATATGTTACCCTTCAATTTACAATTAAGAAGATTCTTCATCAATACTGACAATAATAAAAAATTAATATTTGTTTTACTTTCATGAACTTCTGGCAAAAGGAGGTAAATTCATCTTTAACATGGAAACAATGTGATTTACAGGTGTTGAACATTCTTTCCAAGGATTTATAGCAGTAGTAAACACTCACACAATCTCTGTTACATAATAATCACACCACCAATAATTAAAACTCAATTAGGAATAACTCTTCCCCAGGTCCATACATAAATTTATCTGATAATACTGAATAAGGAGTGTATCAACACAAGAGGCACAGAAAAGCAGATTGGTCCAACCCACAGTCCAGAAGAACAGAAGCTTCACACACACACAGACACTCAGCAATATCTACTACTAACAGACTTTCTTCAGCTAGATTTATTTAAGAAGGAGCTTGCAGCAATGTCTTTTTTAATTCAATAAATGATAAATTATAAATATAAAAAAATAAGAAGAAAAAGAAAATTGCAAAAGATTAAATTTTCTCCCCTAGAAAAAGTGTTATCAATTAAATTTGATGTGTTCCAAGTAATTATGTTGAAAAAGTATATACAAATTATTATCACAGAAACCTATTGTAGTATAATGACTTTAGTCCCTTTTTTTAAAATAACTTTTAACAAATGAAATATCCCTAGATTTACAGATGGTCAATTTTTCAGTATCAAATCATTCAATATAACAACATCACAACATGGACACAAAAGACAGGTGGGTCACAACACCAACAGCCAGGAAGGACACAATTTCTTCTTCATTATATACAAATACACTTATAATGAATAAATTAAATAAAAAATATAAAGTCTTTCTGTGTAAATAACATCATCTCTTCTGCATGTTTACACTGAAGCTCTCTGAGGACATTACTCCTTCATCTCTTAATGTAGAAAAGTAGTCTAAATGAATTTTTTGGTGGATTAAGAAATCAATGCCAATTACAAAATTTACATCAAAATGCAAGAAATCACATTGAATCTAACAACTGTTATGAATTCCTTTTGAAATTCCGAAAGAAGGGGAAAAATAGTTCCTGAAGAGAAAATAATACTAATAATTTATAAGTTAATACTCCTACACTCAAAACGCTATACAAAGATACAATAATTTATGATGAAAGAGTCTTCTAAAATAAATGATAATTATCACCCCTAAGATAACTTTGGCGCTGTGACTAGGGTATAGGACAAACAGTGTATTAATTTGCATGCCAAAACACAGCAAGACCAGTCGGACTCCTTTACGACTACTTGTCGGGATATAAGCAGTGAAGCAATACTGATATAATTAGCACTTACTGAAACATGAGGTAAATGTACCGCATGCTGTGGTTTACTGATAAATATATCAAATGGAATCCGTATTGTATACCTCTGGTGTCTGCATGGAGCTGTGTATGGTATAGGCAATGTCTTTTCCAATTGAAACCTGGCTCAAAATTATTTTTGTAACTGGCAATTCTCAAAAATAAAGAAATTACCAAACATAAGTCTTCATTTATTTGAGGGTTACAGCAAAAGAAGATCTGTGGTTACATGACAAGTTACCTCCCCTTACACTCCAACCCTTACATGGATGATGTTTGTTAGCTCATGAGTTATCTCCCTTGATCTCCTGTAAACTACAGCCAGGAAATCAGAGGATGTGTTCAACACACTCATTATTTCTCCTGATTCAACGATCAAGTGAAAGGGGAGGTAACTCCAGATTCTTTCAAATCAACCACGGAGCTTCTTCTGTGATAGCATCATATTTTTGTTTAATTCATAATTCAATAAATCCATAAATCCATTTTACACATTCAGAAAATACATAAAATAAAACCAAACATTTAATTAATAATAATGAAAATGAACTTATATTCACATGTGGAAAAGACACTGCTTTTTTATAACATGTAATGTAATGTCTGAAGTATTGTGTACATCTGTATTTTTATCATTTTGACATAAAACAATTAAAATTAACCAACCAAATCAAAACAGAACATTGTGAAAAACAGTTCATAACAATATGACATAGTGTATTATGTTATCAAATACATGATGGTTATCAAATCAAATATTTGGGAGTCCAACCCCCATCCCCTGTCAGACTCAAAGAGAGACATATGACAAATGTAGCTGAGCCCCTAGTATATATGTCTATGATTCTGGGAAATGTAACAAGTTCATTAAGGACTGGTAAATGTCAACACATCTGGAGCAAGGAACTTTTAACAGCAGTAAAACTAAATGCAATATGCCGGAAGTTATTTTTAAACATTGGTGATGAGTTGTTCAATAATAGCAACCAAAAGGGAATAGTTATGCAAACGGATGTGTTTTACTTCTCAAGAAATTTAAGTGACTACCACGTTCATAATCTTTCATACTGTAAGACTTGCTCAACTTAAACATGTACAAAACAAGAAACCCCAATCTCTTTTCAAGATCAGGTTTTCCTGGTTCTATAAATAAAACCCTCCCTCCCCTCTTTTACCTTACCTTCTCAAGACTTTACTAAACTAAATTAAACTGGTAAGTTGTGAGCCTTGTATTGAAGTGGTCAATAAATTCCACGATATTGTTATGGCTGACAGAGGAGTTGTAGAGAGATATATAGTCAGTACAGTAGGGATTTACAGGAAAGAGTACATTCCATTCTTATGAAAGATCTTGCAATGGAAATGCTCTCGGCCTGTTTGGTACCAAGACTTCTGTCAGTTGATCAGCAGCACACCAGGAGCACTTTGTCACATGCTAATCTGAACCTTATAGAGGCAGATCCTGCTAAATTTCTAAAGAGATTTGACTATGGATGAAAGGTGTGTTCATCATTTCACCCCGGAGGCCAAACAACAGTGGA